CCTCAGGCACCCGGAAAGCGGATGACGATTCCGCTCCTGGCCCACCTCGATCTGCTCCCCTGCGAAGAAGACGTTGACGGGAAGGAAACTCACTCGTCTCACGACTGCCCTAGGTGACGCGTGATACTAGTTGTGCCCAGAGAGAGACCAAAACATAATGTGTGAAGAGGATTGTTGAAGGACTTCGAACCTTATCCCACGTCGAGAAGATAACCCAGGAGACCCTGAGGTGGAGAGGAGGCTCAAAATTCCCTGGAGAGGACCTCGAGAAGGCCCAGGTGTGAGTTACCCCGGACAGTTCCCCAGTATCGAGAGNTCCCTTTTTCCCGTTACCATTTCTGTAACCGTATCTCCTCGATCCGTCCCCCCAGCGGTGAGCCCACACTTGTGTTTCTTACTTCCTCCCCCCAGTGAGATAATTATTATAAGAGTCGAGACACCCCTAGACACGACTAAACTCCCCCCTTCTTTATTAATTAGAGCCTTCCCGATATTGCGCGTGTTAGAGTCGCTTGGCCTTACCCTCCCCCTAGATAAGAGTCAAAAGGCCTCACCATCTGTATGTAAATTTAACTGGAAATATATATCATTTTATTGAATTTACCCCCTCTTACTTGTTACTCTTATTTGACACCCCTAAAACCCTTTTCAGGATTTTTACTTGTCAGATAACGCGGTCACAATATAAGGGATTAGTTTTGTTACGATATTAGATACAAAAATGGGAGAATAATGTCATATTTATGTCATCAATAACATGAATACATAAAAATATAAGAATTTATGGATTAACATCAGAGATTCATATTTTTTATTATTATTCCAAACAATTAAAGCGGAGTCACGAGTCAATACTCGTTTCTCCAGGTTCATGACCCTTCGTTGAAGCAGTCTGTGATTTCTTACTAGTTGTTTACTGGAATTAATGATCTCGAGTTCTCCAGCTTCTGGAAAAATAATGGAATTCTTGAAAATAGTAATAAATGATGATGATTAGGTATCAAGCATCGAAGGAAAATCAATATATATATTTAAAGATAAATTTTGTTTTTCTTACCTCAACATTAGATTTATCAGACACTGCTCTGATTTACTGATGAAAATTCAATATAACGTAGGCAGTTTCACTGTCTTCATCCTTATTCTTGTTGGAAAACTCTCCTCTCACCTTTCATTCTCCTCAATCCCAGAACATTTAGGTAAAACCTCTGGTGCTACTGCAATGAGAGGAGTCGTCACCCTGACCTATACCTGAAAATTAAGGAAAGGGGGAAAAACATTCAAGTAATATGACTATCTGTTAGCAGTGAATGTTACTTCATCAATCAAACAAGTCTTCTAAAATTATTGCTAAACCTTCAGAAATATTCTCAATAAATGTTGAGTGTGTAGAGCAGCTCCGAGAAAATTGATTAGTTAAGAAGAGAGTAGACTCCAGAATTGATCAACAAAACTGTAACGCCAAGTACCTGTTCATTGGTTTTTCCCACAGCAATGTTACAGCTACTATTCTCTTCATTGTCAGAGTCCAAATTCCTACAGTTTGCAAATTCTAGAGATTTCCATCCACAATTAGTACTTCCTCGACCCCCCTTCCTCTCACCTCTCATGAATGACAATGGATCAAATCAATCGCTTTGATCTACAGAAGAACGGAGTACCCATTTTTAAGGCCCACGGTATATCTGTGGGCATATGCAAGAACGTCCTCTGGGAGTTCTGTGGCATGAGCCAGGACTAGGCCGCAGTTGTGGATCTTCTGGATTCCTGGTTTGAGCTTGTGTGGGTGTAGACCAGATGGGCCTCATCGGGACGATCTGGTCCATTGGCAATCGCCTCGAAGTGGTGGTTCGTCACGTTGGAGTACAGCTCAGTTAGGTGGTACTCGAAGTGCGTGGAACTGAGGGTGAAGGCTTTGATGAGAAGCAGGTGATTGTAGATTGCCCAGGCTATTGAGGTACCTTCCTCCACTGTTGTACTATGACAGTAGGGCTCGTCGAGGACAATTAGGGAGTTGGGGGTGAGATATTGGACTTCTTTGATCTGAAATTTAAGGGGTTAGAGGTGAGTTTCGATGGAGTTTGGTGTAGTGAGAGCTGGGGGGACAGTAGATTTAGGAGGAAATGTGAAGAGAGGTTTTTTGTCGGAAAATTTGTGGGCTATAAAGAAGGTTTCTGATGTTTTTGGATGAAGATACTAGTTCGAGATATATTTAGAGAAAGATGTGTGTGGAATTGAATTGAATTAAGGTCAAAAGGGAAGTTCAATACGGATTTTGGTATTTGGTTTTGATGGTATCTTTTAAACAATTGGGTTTAGAGAAAAATAGTGAAAGATGTTGTTTGACATTCAGCTATTCAAACTAGTCAAACGGTCACCGGGCTCAACGAAATTCTCGAGAAACTTCGGGACCCGTCGGGATCACGGTCAGCTACGACAAAAATCTGACCGCAATATTGTATTGCCATAACCGCTCTATCGAGTACATCACCGGAGTACATCGACGCGATATATTTAAGTCTAGCGCTTCGTACAGCGTCTCTATTTAACTCAATTCAATTATCAATTCATTCCGAGTTAATTATCAATTATTTGAGTCAATTATCAAGTTCAATATCGAGAGAACCTCAAGTGCAGTGCATTTTTCAAATACTCATTTTTATTGACTTGTCGAGCAACTCAACAGTGTAATAATATTAATTTATCAAGACGCGTGGGTTATTCCACAATAAAGTACATCAACAGTGTGGTTTTATAATTCCGCGTGTTTTAATTTTCCACCTCCTTTCACAATTCCACTTTTTTTCCCAACCGGCATCTCAAGTTAGCTTCAATCTCAAACAGATGTTTTTTGTGGAGAATTTTATGAGCTACAAAACAGGTCTTGTGATATATTTCGATAAACCCACTAATTCCAGAGATATCCCCAGAGTATTCTGTAGAGAATTGAATTCAATGCAGTTATAAAAAAAATTGAAAGTTGGTTTTGCTGATATTTTCGAAATGAGTGAGTTTCGACAAAAATATCACAAAACCTTTTCTGTGGAGAATTTGATAAGCTAGAAAAAAGGTCTTTTGATATTTCTCCCTAAACCCACTACTTCCACAGATATTTCCGAAATAATCTGCATCAAATTCAATCAAAAACACTTCGGAATTGACTGATAGTTTAGTTATCTGAAATCACACTGAAACTAGTGGGTCTATCCAAAAACCTCACAATTCATTTTTTTAGGGAAATTCGATGGGCGCTAAGAAACGTTCTATGTAAACCTATTAGTTCCAGAGATATTGACGAAATACTAAATGACCCGTCAAACTCACCTCCAGAATGAACGACGAAGCATTGAACTCAATATCATCTCTCGCCCTAATCCTGCCGAAGATATGATCAGTAGCAGTGAAGATATGAACTTGGCCTTGCTAGCAGGCACGAAGCACCCGATCTGCTGCATGATCTACAGCAGAAGAATCTGTTTCAAATAAATAGTTTCTCGATGCAACAATGTCATTAGCACGATGCAACAATGTCACTCGATGCAACAATGTCATTAGCACGGGGGCTCTTGGATCCCAGAATATCCATCACAGGATGTTTAGCATCCCTCACCTCCAGACTAGCCCGAAAGCTTAGTCTAACGAATCCCGAGATCGAGCTAATGGTGGCAAGTGACAAGATGACATCCATCTCAGCTATATCATCATTGAACAGAAATGAACATCTCATAAATCCCTTAATCGCTTCAAACAAATGAGTCAGGACGACATTACTCATGAATCTCGACGTGAATGTGATACCCGAGAGTGGACGTATGCCCAAAGTTCAGCAACAGGTTGTGACGTGTTCTCAGGTGCTCCACGATCTCCTTCATGTCATCAATGAGCTCACAGTAAGTCTGCCTAGCGACATCAAGAGAGTCACTAATCCCCACTTTCAATGAAAAACATTTGTTGAAGTTTGAGGAAGTGTAACCTTTGATAGACTAAGCGTCAGGATGGATGACCCTGAGGATCTCCTCCCCCATGATCTTGAAGTACTCGTTCTTGAGGTTGTCAGACACCTTCCTGGAGAAGGAGAAGAATAGGCAGAAGTTGTATCTGCTACCGTAGCTGGTGACTAGTTCCAAGTTCTGGGCACCACCAACAATCGCCGAATTCTGTAACGAGCTGTCCTCTTGAATGGGGTCGGCCTGTTTCCATTCCCTCCTTTTCCTCAAACAATGTTGAATACTCCGCCCCGTCTTCTCATAAACAAGTTCCACACACCCCAACGAGGGTTCCCCAATTCCTCAAATTTGTGTCTTGACCACGAGATCAAACGAAACATCACGAACGAATACAGCAGGCCTTCCTCCAGTGGCATTGCTCATCGTGGTGAGAATATCCATTGTCGTCAATCTAGCGAGTGCATGAATCGAATCCAACGCTCTCCTACATGGTTCATGCAGTATGTAGCAGACCCCATTGATATTTTTCAGGCTTCTGAATCGGTATGTTGGGTGATAGAGGATTCGCCGCAAATTCCACAATCTTCGAGATCATAGAGTTCATAGAATTTTGGTGTATTTCCTAAGAGAGTTGAGAACTCAGGTACTTGAGGAACAATTGTAGTATTGGGTGATACGTTTGATGTCTCCATTCCAGGGCTTTGGCGTTTCCTACTTTTCCTCCCTTCCTAAAGTCTCTCATCGGTTTGAAAGCATCAGAAGAAGCCTCAGTATTCATAGCATCCAGATATTTTACAATTCTTTTCCATGTTGTTGAAGAATCATCTGCGAATAAAAAATTCAAAAAAAGATAATGCAATTCAATGCCTTCAAGCGATGGAAACCTGTGTTTTCAAACATTTCAAACTATTTGTTAGATTTAGTATTTAATAATACGGATGCACAGATACCAAAACGATAGAATCAATCATGCTAAAGGTGAACAGATTGAGGATACACAATTGAATTAGTTGAGATAAAATGCACCAGACTACAGCTGAATTTTTTCTCCACATGCCATCGAATATGAAATTATTTGATCATAAAAGCCTAAATGATAGATATCCTGGAATATTCCACACCATAAGAAGATAATGATAAGACAATCACATGCAAAATTTCCAAATACGTTTTGAAAAAATTATGTTCAACACACTTGGCCACTCCAGCTTGTTGTGCAATTTTGTTTGCATTCCCTGATCGTCTCTCGTCCTCCTCTAATTGCCTATTTCTAGTTCTGCAATATTGTAAAAACAGCAAGCTGACGGGACACTCGACAATTGAGACGGAGATGCTAGAACCATGCTTGGAGCATGTCATCCAGTTGGTATCGACGGTACTTAGCACTTGCTGAAGAGCCAAATTTTTCACATCTAAATGATGAATGTAAGGAACTATCATTCGATCGAAGGTGTTTATTGCTGTTCCAATCAATGTCTTCATATTGTCAACAGTCAATGACGTGAACCATTCATCACATTTTGATCTTATCTTGGAAAATATCTTCACGGATAAGTCGTCTGTCAACCTCTTATTCTGCTCTGGTACCTGGAGATCATCAGTTAGAAGGTCCTCTAATTCATCATTCTCGAGATGTATTACGGGGGGTGAGTTTGGGCCATTGGAATCTGCGTCTTGACTATTATTATTGATGATTTGTTGAAATGAATCAGTGTTGTAGGAAGCGGTCATTTGGGTAGAAGAATCGACGATCGAGATGAAATTTTTCAATCTTATCAGCATCTTCCCATGATTTTTCTCACAGTTGGAACCAAGTGCATGGGTTCCTGCATCTTTCGCCACTAAAATCGATTTAAATGCTGATTCGAAATGAAGACATGTTGGGTTAGAATTGGTCCCACAATTCTGACGTATCGTTGAAAAAAAATTCTCGAGTGGGTCTTGGTTCACGCGTCTCAAATTCAACGTCTTGAAGTCAAGGGCCTGCAATCCTGCCATAAGTCTTGAATCGGTGAAAGCGATGTTACCAAGTTTTTCTGACATGGTGGTCTGACAATGTCCCCTTTAAGATTTCGAATCTCCATTTTATCCACTAATGTCCGGAATCTTGCCCATTGTTTCATGTGATCTGAGTCTGGCGTCGGGTTCTTAATCGGCGATTCCGTATCGTTCGTCTTTGGCCCATTAACACAGTCGAAAAGATCATTGATGTCCTCAATGAAGCTCGTTGTATTCTCGAAATTTTCTGTATCTCTGCCTTTATTGGATTCCGCGAGCACTCTCAAATTGCTGGCCGTCCGATTACTGAAAATCTGGGCGGCATATTTAACACGCATTTTTTCTTTAGAATTTGGAAATAGATGGGTTTCGGATAATTTGTCATTGGCTGTACGAATGCCTCTCAATTTCTCATGTAGCACAATGAGATCACTCCACTTGGCAATTTTACCGTCCCATTTGATTTCGTGTCCCGGATAATCAAATTTTGAAGAGTGAGGATGCTTCTCCATCCACTTCTCCCATGACTCCAAAAAGTTATTGCGAAGATATTTTATCATGTGTGGCCAATCAAAAATTGTATAAATTCTTCGATTGTTCCACAGAAAATAAGCACCAGCGCATTCACTTCTTTCGTCCTTAAGTTTGGGATCCTGTCTCAGTAGGTTAAAAGCGGCTTGGTTTGTGGATCCCTGATCGCACACGAGTGTTTTAATTATGAGCCCAGTCTCCTCAACTGCTTCAATAACTTTCTTTATCAAGATGGCTAGCCGCTCGCTCTTTGTGGTGCCTTTACACAAAAAGTAGGCAATTGGTTGCTTGTATCCCTCATTCAACTCTTGGACCTGGAACACCAACGCATGGTCTGCCACGACGCCAGTTCGATCACCTTCACCAAAATCTTCAAAGCCAATAATTGTTCCCCTCTTATGATGCGGTATAACTCTTTTTTTGAGTGCAACTTCGTCAAAAGATAAGAGGCAATACTTATTGATGTCAGCCATTGTTCCAACAGTAACCTTGATATTCTCCAGGACATTCTTGTTAATTCCTGTAGTTATTTCGATGGTTCTCAGCGCTGTCAAAATGGTCCTTTCAGTCGGTAGGGGGAGAAACTGCTGGAGAAGATTATAAGCCCTAGGTCCTTTCTTATATAAACATAACGCCAGGTTTTTATCCTCATCGAGCCATCTCCTTCCATTTGGCTTTTGTAGTGCAATATCTTCCAACAATGAGGCATATATAGTGTCACGTCCATCATGTAAGGCTTTTAAGGTATTTTTGGATTCACGAAGTTCCTCAATTTTATGTTGCAGCTCTAATTCTTTTCTACGTAGTTCTGCTTCTTGATGCTGAATGACTGTGACCAATTTCTTCTTTCGTGGAGTAATGAATTCTCCATACAAACCTGCGCTCTCTAGGCATCGTTTCCTCGAAATACGCACCGTCGCGACTGAGTTGCGTTGGTTGAAATTAAGAACATAAAAACAACAATTAATTCTACAATTCGCTTAGGTCTCCTATTCAATGATAAAACTAGAATTCGACGCATATGAAGCCTTTCTCCTTTTCTGATTATCAAAATTACTCTTGGAATTGAAATATTTTCCACAAAAAGTGTATAATAACTGTAACATTTTGTTTATAAATTTATTTCAATCAATTATAAAATTGAAAATACAATATTCGAATATAATTATTTACAATTTATGAGAAATGTAATTTTGGAGATGAAGAGAGAAATATTACATATGAAACACACATTTTGTGATAAATCTTTCATTTTCTTGCTAATACTCCAGGTCAATTGTTGGATCCATCTTCTAATTACAAATTTATTCTTCCAATCCACTTTTAATGATTGTCAAATCTGCCAATTCCTCGATGCCATATCAAGCCTTTCGATCATTTTCTCCATTTGTTTCATTATAATTCTCTTCTTGAGTGCATTCATATGTTTTATTTTGAATGTCATGGAATTTCTTGCCCTTCCAGGTAACGTAATACTTATGTTGATTATTCCATAATTGTTGTGGCTGGAGATTAATGATTCAGAATTCCTTCTAGCTGTAATGGATATTACAAATGGCATGACGTTGAATTGAAGCACAGTGTAGAAGGTGGTTATGGACGATTAAGAAAGCAAACTTGGAAAAATCTATGAATACGGCGACATTATTTTTCATACTGATCAGAGTAAATCCAAGCTCCAGAAAATTTCATCCCCAATAAATAATAAAAAGACAGAATGGAGAATGAAGTCCCATCACTAATAAATCAACTCTGAAGGAATTATAAAAATTATGTCACTGTATTTAGTCACGTAAACAGTGCTCACAATTGAAAACAAACGTGATGATTGGATATGCTGCTCAGAAAAGAGAAAAAGGCTCCAAAGCAAGTGTCATAGTTGAATAAATCCACATAAAAATTAATTACAGATGAGTAACAATTATATAATCCCAATGCGAATAATCAAGCAACCACCAAAAAATATTAATGCTCAAACAGGTATAAAAAAAAATGAAACAGTTTTCATATTCCCAGTAACCGACAATAACAACTTACCGAATGGGCGGTAACTTCGTTTCGTTTCGCATTTGGGTGTTGCTTCATTTAACGTCCTTTCATTCAAACTCGGTATTTGTTTTCCTGATGGAGTCCTTCCGATTGTTGATGATGTCGATTGATCAGTCAATTTCGGAATTTCATCTGCAAATAGTCAAAACATCATGATAAATATGTTTAATTGGAATTATAAATATGTGAGACATTCATTTATAAACTGTGAGAAAATACTCCACCTGATAAGGGCAATGACGTATGAACTTGTCGTTTTGCTATCAGAATCATCCTGGTATTATTGAGTGAAGCAGCAGTCTCCTTACCTAAAAAGTAAGAAAAATTGGGGATTGAATGATGGAGCTAAATTTCCATGCGTTTGCATGTCACTGAGACTGGAGTGATGAAAATTCACTGGTGTTGACATTTCAATCGATATTAAGCAAATTATTTGGTGAAATAAACGAATTGATCCTGCGAAGCAGGGTAACTTCCAGCACCCGATAAAATTATTATGATAGAAAATAGCGAGTATACAGCTGTTTTTGTGTGAAAATAATGAAAATTGGTCTTTACCTGAAGGCACATCATGGTTCAGGCCTCGTTCAGGTGTTGCTTGGGGTATTGAATTTTTTGCATTAGAGCATCCTGATTGATCATCATGTGGAATGTTCATGACTGGTGTTTCCACCTCAATCATATCACCTGATAAGTCCATAGGTGTATTGATGTGCACATCGCTTGGTACTGTACTCTCGGAATTCCAATGTGAAACTACGTCCTCCCCTTGTGGAATAGCTGCACCAGCATTTGACATCTGGAGTGCTGCGCCTGGGAGTGATATGGATGCTGCTGTGGTTTCACACGGTTTGGAATTAGCAACTGTGAAAAAAAGAAAATTAGTTGAAATGTAAACACTTGTCTCTCAAAAATCAATAATGCAACTGGCACTAATTAAACTTTTTCTTCGGAAGGAACAAGGACTACTTTTTCTAGACGTACACTCTTGGAATCATCTAAGTAATACCTTTTCTTGATCTTTATGCTAGTTGATTAATTCATGCTGATAAATTGTGGCACAATTACCTCGTAATGTTTTTAATTGACTGGCATGTGCGTCAACCAAACCGATCCTCTCCAGATCTTTCTGAGCTATGAGAACTCTTGTAGCTGGGAAATTTAAATAATTTTAAATATAACGACATTGTGAATTATTCCGTGTCCTATTTAATTCTGCATTTCTTTCAATGATCCATTAATTTTTTGAATGTTCCCATCTGATTCAATTCCCAATAAATTTGATCACTATTCCTTTTGCAAAAATGTTAGGAAAATAAAAACAACACCCAATAACATGGATATCTCTAGTTTCAAAATAATGGAAAGTAATCTACCTTGAGTGGGAATTCTGAGGACATCTGAGGGTGGGAAATTTGCCAATAATTCATCATTTAGTGGAACAACTCGAGGATCGAACAGAGATGGCACAGCAGTTGAGTTCAGCTTCTTCTTGGATGGCTTGGTGAATTGATCAACAGTAAAATGATATCCACACACATATCGTATCTCATGGAGCTTCTGAACAGATAAATGGAGCAGATCTTCCACTCCTACCCTCCGCAACCACTCTTTAGACCTGCATAAGAATGGAATATATCAAGATTAGACACTGCTGAATACTGCTATATATTTGGATTTAAAAAAAAATACCGTTCGGGATTTTTTGGAAACACCGTGAAAATACAGCCTTTATTGATGTGGTGAGCGTGGCCACAATGCGGCACTACGCACTTGGCATTTCTTGGCATAATCTAAACAGAAAATTAATTGAGTTAGGGGGATAAACACTTCAGTTAACCTCACTTCTAGGTGTAATGGGAGCGATCTGCTCCACTCAGGAAAATCATCAAGACTAGATGAAAATGGGTCTCTTATCAAGTAGTCATTTCATGAAAGTTGTCAAAAATCTACATTATTGTTGTAATAAATCAGCGAAGAAAGATTAACACCAATTTTTACAATTTTTCACAATGCAAAGTGGCATATTGCTTTTTCATACTCACGATGCCTCAAAATCACCACTCCTCCTTTGCTATTTTCGAAAATTCACTTTTTAGTCTTTCATTGCTCACTTTTTATTATTTTTCACAGATTTATTTTGTCACAACAAACAACATAAACAAAAACAAATCGTTGCGGAAAACAATATGGCGCCTTGGCGTAATCCAAACAGTATGGCGGCAGGGTCAGGAATACCATAAAAATGAGACCAAATTTAGTTGGTATTGGTTGGTATCATTGAGGCCCAAGAGTGCAAATACCGAGTGGAGGGGGTAGGCTGAGTTGCACCCCACTGCATCCGCTCGACTCCAGTGCCTGTCACCGACAGTCTCGAAATCTCCTAGGGCCTTCTCCCCCTAGTCTGAACATCTCAGCGGCGGTGGGTCATCCGTTACCCCACCACCACCAATCAGCTCGACGGCAATCGAGGGGGCGCTAGTCCTCTCACCTAGCCGTTGGTCCCTAGTCTAAGTCGATAGCGCCTCTAGAATCGCCCAGTTGGAACGCCAGTACGTTGGCCCGTTTCCCCCAAACACAGCTGGGCGAGTTTCTAGATAAGGCGACAGGGTATCGACAGCCTCTCTATAATGTTCAGAAGCATGGTTTCATCCAAACCACGCCTCTTGGCATTATTTGATTGGTCTATTCACCTCACGCGCAGTTCACTTGAACCGCCGTTCGATGTCACTCTCATCTCTCGCTCAGCTTCTTCAGCTGGCGTTAGATGTCGCTCTCTTCTCTGTCCCTTAGTCTAACGATTCTTGACTCATTGGTTTTCGTGTTGGTAAAACAGTTTACCGTAACGAGAAAATCTCGTTACAATCCTTTTCGTTATTTTCTTTTTCCATATCATCGTCAGAAATTCTTTCTTTGAAATGCAATAAGAATTTCGTTAGTGAGTCCCAAACAGCGTCTATAAGGCAGAAACTCCAACCGAATAAATGGTGTAATGCATAACCATGGATGAAAGTGTCGATCAAAAATTTAATTACTTTGCTAACCATAAATATTCCAATTAGTCCAGCACTGAAGGTTCCAAAACCTGTTAACCATCCCCATACTGTAGTTGAGACTCTTTCAGCTATTTTATTAATGGAATGTTCGTCAAAGAAATTAGAAAACTCGATTACCGGGCTATTTATCGCTTCCCCCATTGCTCCTCTCGCGATAGCATCTAAAACTGCTGGTTGTTTTTCAGGAAACATCAAATGATCTTGCAATTTTTCAAGATCCTCGGAAGAATATATTCCGCATGTGGCAAGATTTTCAAGATTTCCATATCTCCAGTTTGGTTTAGTTAGTGATTCTAATTCAGCTGGTGGTATGACAGGCGAGGGTAATGGATTCATTATGATCCATGTCCCTTCAATGTAATACATAGGAGCTATAAAAGCATTAAAATCGACCTTAGGGCTTTTCTTTAGTAGTATGTGTGTGTTAGGGGTCACGAACATTGTTTCGTTATTCACTATGACCGGCAAATGACCGTAACAGGTAGGGAGTCGGGCGACTATGGCGGGTATAGACTGGCATTTGAGAATGTGAATGACTTCTCCAGCAATGTTCGCCACATACCCGGGTGTTTTCATAACTCATAAAACGAATTCGGCTGGTTTCGAATATGCAAGCCGCAAAGAATTTTCTATAACTTGTCATTCAAATTCACATTTTTGTGTGAGGATATCGATGTATAAGTTTTTCAATTGCTTGCGAAAATGGTTCTCAAAAGAAATAAATTTACTGTTGACATATGACATGGATCTAGATTATTCACGGCTATTGGTTTTCGTTTTCCCATGCTCCCATGCTTTCTTTCTTCATTTCAAGAATAACAAATTTCGGATGTTCGGTACGGATTAATGAATAACCACAGGTGCTTTCAGTTCCTTTTTGCGACAGACCAAAGGTAATATCCCCATTTTGAACTGAATAGATTTCTTCTACATCTTTGTTACTGGTTTAATTATCATAAACGCGTTGCATTGGTTCTTCGTAGAGCACGTCGTATTCTTCAAGTGTGCATTGTTTATTTGGAGCTGAATTCCAGAAAATGCTGTATACTTCACTGTCCAAACATCAGTTTTTTGCGGGATCGAATCGACTTCCTGGGTTCAAATATACTTGATGGTCATCGACGCTGACAGGAGCGTAATAATCTTCAAAAGTAAAACTGAATTTTGCTTGCCAACAACTCCATAACATGACCCATAGTGATCGCTGAATTTTCCACCGTCACAAGTCTCATCTGATTGCACGGACCCGGCAATTACTGCTGTTTTATCCACGGTGCTATTGGGTTGCAAACCGACAAATGGGGAGTCTCCGTAGCGATATTTCAAATTCATGTGCATGTCGTTGCATATTTCCGTGCTTATATCTAGCAAATATCCTGCATATCCATTATGAACGATGGAATTATGAGACCAGTGTCCACAATAATAAATTATCCGATTGAGTGATATCCGACAGAGCTTGACATGGACGTTATCAAATCTTGAGAGCCGGAGTAATTTTACATGAGTTTCGGTAATTATTGGCTTTTTCAGCTGAATATTGCATGGTTTTACGCTAATTAAAGAGATAGTGGTCAGGTTAGTACTTTGCGTCCCACAGTCATAAGAGACGAATCCATGAATGCTTGCGATGAAAGTGGAAAAAACTAACATTTGTGTTACGCGCATCTAAATCAAGGAAATATATCCTTTGTCAAAGTTGCATAAGTGTATTGATTTAAATATTCTATTCGGTTTTTGTATCTATCCCTTCTATTCTTGTTTAAGTGTGAATTAGTAAATAACCATAAGGTATCTATTGCTATTTCCCGTTTATACAAAGGTTTCATAAAGGTGATGATCATTTTTTGAGTTTAACATTTTTAACAATGGCCAACATCTTTGACAGTGGCTTGTTCTCAATGGCAACTCACCATTATCAATTTTTATGAGTGATAGTGGGAGACGGTCATAAAAAGTGTAGTTTATCCACACAAATTCCATAACAAAAAGTGTGAATATCAGTGGTTTCTGTAAAAAAAAAAGGTTCAGAAAAAGAGTCAGGACCAACGAACTTAGCGCGATTTTTCAGTCTAATGTAAAAATCTCGCGGGGATTTGAACCAAGTTTATACAAAGGTTTCATAAAGGTGATGATCATTTTTTGAGTTTAACATTTTTAACAATGGCCAACATCTTTGACAGTGGCTTGTTCTCAATGGCAACTCACCATTATCAATTTTTATGAGTGATAGTGGGAGACGGTCATAAAAAGTGTAGTTTATCCACACAAATTCCATAACAAAGAGTGTGAATATCAGTGGTTTCTGTAAAAAAAAAAGGTTCAGAAAAAGAGTCAGGACCAACGAACTTAGCGCGATTTTTCAGTCTAATGTAAAAATCTCGCGGGGATTTGAACCAAGTTTATACAAAGGTTTCATAAAGGTGATGATCATTTTTTGAGTTTAACATTTTTAACAATGGCCAACATCTTTGACAGTGGCTTGTTCTCAATGGCAACTCACCATTATCAATTTCTATGAGTGATAGTGGGAGACGGTCATAAAAAGTGTAGTTTATCCACACAAATTCCATAACAAAGAGTGTGAATATCAGTGGTTTCTGTAAAAAAAAAAGGTTCAGAAAAAGAGTCAGGACCAACGAACTTAGCGCGATTTTTCAGTCTAATGTAAAAACCTCGCGGGGATTTGAACCAAGTTTGGCATTTTTGTCGATTCCTTGGCTTGAATAGATACGAAAGATTG